AGAAGATTTTGAAGCATATCAGAGAGTTTGATCGGCTGTGGATATCTTCGAAGTCATTTCTCAGAATGTTGAGCTGTGATTTTCACATCGCACTGGAATGGAATGGCCAAGAAAGCGTCGATATTGAAAATTGACAAAGGTATCAAAATTACTCATTTAATATGAGGTGGTTACTTTTGACTTCGATGGTTGTGCACTTGGTATGAGGGACCAAGAGAGAAAACCACTTAAAAAGCCTTGGGCTGTGGCAACCACTCATTCTGGAATTGGAAAGGCATTATCCAAATTCCAGTGCGTATGCGAGAAGCAGCATGCACAGGGCAGAGGTTTGGCATTGAAGAGAACTGAAGAGTACACTTTCAGAATGACAGATGCCATTCACAAAGCACCCCCGTCCGGGGTACCTAAATAGAATGAGGGGGCTGGAGCCCCTTTTAAAATAAAAAATCAAAAAATAAAATGAAAATAAAATGGGTCAGACCCCAGCATTTTATTTTGTGGGTGCATTTTATTTTTTGAGGTGCCTAACCCATCAAGTGAACTGACAGAGATAGCATGATAGCAAAGATGCACAGCTGTGAACGTTCTGATCATTTTGTGAAACATTCCAGAGATTTGGAATTACTTGGACATTAACTTCGAAAATGAGTTGGCCCCCCTCATTTTCTATTGCCTTCCTTGGTCAACAAAAGACACACAGGCAGCTTACAGCAGCCAATGAGATTTCTTAAGTTTATTTATATTTATTTGTATCTTTTCTAGAAACCATCCAGATGTCAGAAGTGGAACCAATTATATATATACATTATATTGATCGAAATCCGCGCATTTTTTCCTTCCTGTTGGCACGTGAAAAGGCTAAACAAGACTAAACAAAACTAAACAAGATCAACCAATCAAATAAGGAAACAATGTAAAGGACTAAACAAGACTAAACATGGTTTAAGTTAAAACCAATCAAATAAGGAAACAAGACTAAACAAGATCAACCCAAAAGAAAATGCCGGAGCCCGAGGTCCAACAGTTGCCAAGTGTAGGTCCAACAGTGGCCAGGTGGAGGGTGCCTGACATCATTTTCTTTTTGTACCTGTCCATTGTATTTTGCTTGGGTGTTCCTATCTTACCTTATGCCCTCTCATTTTATTGGCATTTTGTCCTTAGGCCCCTGCATTTTATTTTATTTTTTTAGGGGTTCCACCCCCCCCCGGCAACAGACGAGGGTACAAAGCCTTTGCCCAACAGCAACCTTCGCTCAAGCTCGTGTGCTGTGCTATCGTCCCGACTCTTCGCTGTGCATTCTACGTCATGTCATGTTGGCTCGTGCTATTCGCATGGCAAAGGATTGAGCTGTTGTCGGGAGGCCTGCCATCTATGAAAGGGTGTGCCAGTGGGGAGGTATCATCTCTACTCTTCGTGGTGCAATTGCGGTTGCTACTATTTGCTACTTGGGATGAACCACAGGTACTACTCAATCAAATGAGAGGATGCAGGCTGCCTCTCGCAAACATCGTGGAGACGAGGCTTGGTGGTGGCAATACGGAGGGCTCCTACGGCAATTTCACTGAGGTTTTCAAGAACACGTCCGATGGCTACTTGGCGAACTGCCCATGCCGACCGGGATGTGAGGTTGACGTCCTGATCATGTCATCTCGGACTCTTCCTTGGCACTTGTGCCTGATCCTGGTCATGGGAAGGCCTCATGCTTCTCGGCTGGTGACTTACTCACTCCTTGGGGCGAGGTGCCTGGCATCTACACCAACATGATGCGGGGAAAGGGCCTCGGTCAAATGGCCAGGTACCTTCCTGAAGCCATTGACGACATTGAGGCCGGTCATCGAACAATGGGGCGGCCGGTGGTTCCCGTGTTGATTGTCATGGGCTGGGCCGGAAACGATGTTTACGGCGAAGGAGGATATCGTGGTGTCCGCTGGAACCATCGATCTGAGCACATGCACAACCGCTCTGAAGCCGACCAGGAGGTCACGGCCAACTGGTGTGAACGGCAGAAAGCCCGAGCGGAGCGATCTTGCCATGAGCTCGGTGCTTTCAAAAGGGCTGAGAACCGGGTGTTGGACCTATAGTGATTGTTGGAAATGCTGACGGTGACGTCTTTGCACTCCCCAAGGCGTACAACGACCAGGCGGTGGTGAAACCACGTTTAGAGATGGTATACAATTTCTTGTTGTCAGAAAATTGGTTACGTCTTTCTTGAAAGCAGTCGTGGACTGCCACCTTTCCTATACCTCAAGTTGATTGGTGCGGATGACCACCTTCGGAAGTTCCCGAGGATCGACGATTTGGAAGAGCTCAGGAACTACCCAAACCTTCAAGCTCTGAAGATCGCCTACAAACAGGAGATCGATTCAAACGTGCCATTTGGGCAATTTGCTGTTTACGTGGCGAAGTTCATCAAGCCAAAGCAGAGGCCCTTGCCCATCGTCTACGGCTGGAACGACCAAGACTTTGTCCCAGATGCAGAAACCTCCAAAGACAGTGCCAAGGACCTTGTGGAGTTCAGCAAGCTTCAGTGGACCATCTTCGCGTCACGGCAGGCCCATCATGAGAGTGAGACTGATGGCGAGGACAGGGAGGTTTGCCTTCCACATGCTACGGCTTCGATCTCATTGCCAGATCACACACGTCCTTATCACGAACAGTTCGGGCCCAACTTGGGAAAGCCTGCACGAGGAGATCCTTACGGCAAAGATCAAGGGGGAAAAGGCCAGCATAGGGACAAAGGACAAGGGCAGAGCAAAGGGAAGGACAAGCAAGGCACAAAGTCCAACGGGAGGTGTGACCTATCGCGACTATGTGGGGCAGACTGGATGGAGCCAGGGCTACCAGTACACCTGGTATTGGAACCAGCAACGTGGGTGGTTCTGGCGCTGGAACTGAGCATGTAGTTTCCTCACACTGACGTAGAGGTCACATTTTCTTTACGCTTGGCGGGAGGCATGCCTGACTTCATCGTATGGTCAGGCATTGCACCCAATTTGAACATTCCAAAGCTTAGCTGCATTGCATTTACCTTATGTTCACCAGTTAGCCAGAATCCTAGAAACTTGAAAATCAATTTATTTGTGAAAAAATGTGCAAAAATGTAAAACAAAAAAGCAACACAAAAAAAAAGCAAATCAAAATGCAAAGAAAAGCCAAAAAAAAGAGCAAAAAAAAGGAAAAAAAAGCAACACAAAAGCAACAAAAAGCGAAAAACAAGCACAAAAACAAGAAAACAATTGAAAACCAGAAAAAAAAAGAATTAGATTAGATTTAAAATTAATAAAGTTCTACTACAATTACTATAGTTATAATTGCAATCTCTTCAGAAAAAGTAGACAATCATAATTATAATAAGTAGACAAAACATAAAGTCACTAGCTGGATTTGAAATCCGCAATATCAAATTGGATTTATCAGATATACGGATATAGTATTGAAATACAGATATCAGATATAGCATACTATAAAGCATGTAGCATATGGTATACAGAACATTTCATTTTTGAAAGAAACCTGGCCTCACAAAATTGCTTTGTCGCTTTGTGACATCTTTGAATTGTTGTTTTGACGTTGTCAACTTCGCAGATTGAGCCGCGTTTTAAACCTCCGTGTCTATGTTTAGTATTGGGATCCTTGTAAGGACCTGTGGCGTAAGCAAAACACTGGTGGGCATAAGCCTGCGTAAACATTTTTTACCAATGTTGCTGTCGTAAGGATGGCGTAAGCTCATAATCAACGGCTTTAAGATGAGGTTTTAAGTAGTGGTATGTATGATGATTCCTAATATGACATGACCGGACGGGTTTTTGATTTTCCTGGAGCCACGGTAGCCGGTAGCCCTCCTGTCTTTCAATTCAACACACCTGCATGGGATTGGTATCAATTTCAGGTTGCCTGGCATTATAGAGTATGGATGGTTTTCCCCATTTCTATCAATATGGAATGCCTTTTCTTGAAGGAACATTGGTTATCTTCAGTGGGTGTTTTGCGCAGTTGTTTCCTGACATCCGCGTAAGGACCGCGTAAGCGTCGCGTAAGCTGCGCGTAAGCCGAAGGTGCTTTTGCCAGTAGTTGCCCATGCCGCCCAAAGAGAAACTCTCCAGTTATGCCCGTGCTCTCAGCAAGGGTGCTGTCAAAAAACGTCGTCAGCTTCGTGCTCTGCGAGCTTCTGCTGGTGGTACTTCTTCATCATCTTCTTCCTGTTCTTCCACGTCTTCATCGTCCACTGCTTGATTTTGCCAATCACTACTTCGATTCTTGCATGTAAAAGTTGCTGCGCGTAAGCCCAAGCTTTGCGCGTTTTCAGAAAGGCCTGTGCCAGCCACACACAAAACCTAGCAACAAACAACTTTAAAAATCAACAATGTTCTTTTGAAACAACTTTCTTCTTTTGAAACTTCTTTTAATAGTACCCGAAAGTTTAACAACAACTTTTGAAAACAACTTTTTGTTTAAAAACAACTGTTGGAAAGTTTCTGAAAACAACTTTTTATTTAAAAACAACTTTTGGAAAGTTTCTGAAAACAACTTTTTGTTTAAAAACAACTTTTGGAAAGTTTCTGAAAACAACTTTGTATTTAAAAACAATTTTAAGAAAATTGTTAAAACATTTACTTGTATTTCAAAACAACTTGTAGAAAGTTGTTAAAAACTTTTTTTTTGGTTAAAACTTCTCTAAATTTGTTCATTTTTTCGCATCCGAAACAATGACAAAACACAAATCACAATGTATTTCTGAAAAAACGTTCAAGTTCATATGAAGCAGCCCTTCAAAACAAGCCTGTAACATGCCCACCAAAAACAAAAAACACATTGCAACACGCTGTAATAAAGTATGTTTCACAAAAATGTTTGGACCATGATTAATCGCAGTAAGTACACTGTTGGCATGTGCAGCGGAGCGGGTACATGGACTGGCCAGCTTGTAGCATGGCAGAATCTCTCTTTGCTGGGCGTTCTTCACTGCAGGGCTCAAGTTTCAACTTAGTTTTGGTTTTGGCATGGCAGCCTTGGGGCTGGATCAAGTCTTGAATTTGGCCCAGCAGTATGGCGCCAGAGATGCGTTGGAGCCAAGAGCACCAGCCGTAGCAGTCGCCAGGGGGGGGGGTCGCAGACCAGGTGGTGGAGGCCTGGGGCGGCACAACCGAGCCCGAGGTGCGGAGGCTAGACAAAGAGGGGCTCGCTGGGCAAGGAAGCAGAAACAACTTGTTTTGCAGAGCAAGTGCTTCAACAAGACCGGCCATGCCCGAACAGCAGATCATCGGCTACCAAGCCAACAAGACTTGAGTCGGCAGAGTGTGGCAGGCAAAGGGAAATGGAAGACTTGGACTCCAGAAGCGATCTTGCGCGCAGGCTTTGGGCAGGAAACTGCAACTTATAGGCAGATAGCAAACGAAGTGGAGGGTGCTTCCTGCAGTCAGGCAAGGGCCGCTAGATTTGCGTGCGCTGCCGCAGTGTGCAAGTCTCAGGCAGAGAGCTGTGAGAAAGTGGTGGCAGAGGCTTCAGAGGAACCCCTCAGATTCTTCATTCAAAATTTGATGTTTGACGAGTCAACCTTTGACCTGAGAGTCGGCAAGGATGCCGCCAACAGTTGCTCTGTTCTGTGCTCGCACTCTCAATGGACAATGGGCTTTGCCCCCTCTTTGGAAAGTGCCAGGGACGCCGTCCGGGATGAGCACATCGTGCGGTCTCCGCAAGTCTTGGCCCCGATGAATTCTGCAACTATGTGGAAGACTTTATCCTGTCATCCAGGGAGTATTGGAGCTTGCGAAGTGGCCGCTGACCATGTGTGCACCCTTACCACATGCGATTCTCATGCGGCGAACTTAAAAATGTTGAAGCATTTGGACACAGTCCTCCCATCAGACCACTACTTCCTTCCAATGTTGTGCACTCAGCACCGGAACGGAAACGTTCTGGAGCAGTTGACTCATTTGCTCGGAAATCTGGGCGGCTGTTTTTGCGTTTCCCGAGTTTTGAATTCGAGGCACGCAGTGCAAGCGCTCCGCAAGAGAACGGCCGCAGGCCTGGAACAGCATCTGGCGGTGCTCCAGGCTGAGCCTGCAGGTGTTCAAACTGAATGGGAGGAAGCGCGGTCGCTGACCAGGAGTTTCCTGAAGCTGGCGGCCATGTTCGAAGCCAGTTCGAAAGAGGCGAAGGAGTCCGAGGTGGAGATTGCAGAGCCTGCTGCTGATGAACTTCCACCTGGTTATTCTCGCCTCTTGGGCTTCTTCAATGGCCCTTGGACAGGACCAGAGTGGGGGGTTGTCAGCGCTGTTGGTTTCTGTCAGTTTGCGCAGCTTGGGTCGGTGCGCGCCTGTTGTTGTCGTTGTCGTTGTCGTTGTCGTTGTGGTTGTTGTTGTTGTTGTTGTTGTCGTTGTTGTCGTTGTTGTCGTTGTTCTTGTTGTCGTCGTCGTCGTCGTTGTTGTTGTTGTTGTTGTCGTCGTTGTTGTCGTCGTTGTTGTTTTTGTTGTTGTTCTTGTTGTTCTTGTTGTTCTTGTGGTGTTCTTACCCTTGGCCGTGTGACCTTGTGTACTGCAGCTGTTTTGGCTTGTGGAAACAAGTAGTTCAAGTTCAAGTCAGTCGCTACTTTCTGTTGCTACGCTTTGGCGATGGCGGACCGTGCTGCGGAAGTTCCAGCTGAGACCAAAGAGGCCGAGGGCAAGATGGATGTGGATCAGCCGGTGTGCGAAGAGCCCAATAAAGGGCCGCAGGCCGAGCCAGAGAAGCCCGTTGAAGGGGCAGCTGCTGTGGCCGAAGGGCCGCCGGCCAAGCCTGCCGAAGGGCCGCCGGCCAAGCCTGCCACACCGGCCGGGCCAAAGGGCAAGCCTGTGGTGGGGCCAAGCGGGTTGCTCTACAAGTCGCCGCCATACAAGTCTCCGCCTGCAGGGCCAAGCGGGTTCCCTGCGAAGGCAATGCCAGGCGGCCCGCCGGTTGGCTTGCTGACAAGGGCTGTCAGGCGTGAGCAGAACACGGTCTTTGCGGACTGGGCGCGTTCGCTGGCTCCTGTGGACGCCCGCAGGGCTGTGTTGAAGAGGGTGGACAGCTTGGCAACTACGAGTACTGATGCCCAGGTGCAGCAGTTGGCAGCTGTGTTGGTGTGCGACGCCTACGGAGGTTCAGCTTCTACGGAAATGATCTTCAGAGCCCGCGAGGCCTACAATCGCAGGCGCCTTGTTCAGTCATATTTTTTTTTGAGCCAATTGTTTTTTGTGCATAAATGCTTTTGTATGGTAATCATTTATGGGAAAAATATAAGTCTATTGATTTTCAATTTTTTTTGGCATCCCCGACATTAGAGTCATCGCCCCTTGCCATTAATCAGCTATAATTTAGTCATGATATTTCAACTAGGCCATGCCCTTGGCTTTGATGGAAGTTGTTCCATAGTTTTTTGGCGTGGCGCTAGCCGCAAGGCATCCTATGCACCTGGTGCTCACTACGGCTGGTGGCGGTGAGTTGTGGGTGGGTTCCATCCAAGCCGCTGGAGATGTGGATTTCTTGCGCAAGAATGGCATTTCAGCTCTGGTTGCTTGCGCTTCGAATGTTCCAGTGGCCCGGTCCGCTGGGCTGAAGCACCTGGGCACGTATGATGGAACGGGGGCAGTCACTGGAGATGTCAAATGGTTCAGGCTGCTTGCTTTGATGGATATGGTGGGCCAGGAGCTCAGGGCCGCTGGCCGGGTGCTGTTCAGCTGCAGAAATGGAGCGCACAGATCAGCAACCATGGTTGCTTTGGTCCTTTGCTTCCTGACAGGGGAGCCTCCTGCTGTCGTCATGGCCCATGTTGCCAGGATCAGGGAGATGTGTGACTTTGACTCCCTGCACCCAGACCGCAGGAACTTCAACAGGCCCATCGTGACCCCGGCACAATGGCTTGAGACAAAGGAGAAGGATTTGCGTGCAGCCCATGATGCTTTAGAGCCAGGTGAGAAGTGCATGCTCAACATGGTGATGACCCCTGACGAGTTCGAGCGCTTCGCGCTGGCGAATGGAGCCAGTATTCCGGACCGGGGTTCGTTGTGTCAAACTTTTTCGTTTGAATGAAAGTTTCCCCTGGCATTGTGCAGGATGTGGGTGCCCGGCCAAAGTCTAGAGTTGCGCCGCAGCGGGCGCAGCCCTGGCAGTTTGAGACCGATTCTTGGATGCATTGAGCAATGTTTTTTTGGACGCCCCACCATTTCAGTACAACTTAATAAGTAATTAATAAGTGCTTGGGTCAGTCTTAGGTAGATTTTTTTAAAAACTTGTTTGATTGCTTGTTTTCTTGATATCTGTGCATGGAAACCCTGTAGACCGATGCAGAGACTTCGGACTTTTGCAAGATCACTGGCCCAGAGGCTGTGAAGACCAGTGGTTCTGAGGCCGGAGCCGAAAGTATCTCTGTGTGGTTATAGTTTTTTGTTGTCTAACCGTTTTTGGCTTTATAGTGTTAACCCTTGGATTTTGGCATCGTTTGCTGGCAGGGCCAAGAGAGCTGGAACATGCTGACGGACCAAGGAGAAGGGAAGAGGCAGAAAATGACCAGCTCAGAGTCTGACGCCGCTGGCGGTGCTTCAGCGCCGGCAAGCTTGGGCTCCAGACAGCCAGTGACTCCTCCGAAGGCCCCTGCTGTTGAGCCTTCTGGTTCTGTTGCTTCGGAGGCCGCCGGCCCTGCTCTTTCGGAGGCCGCCGGTCCTGCTCCTTCTCAGGCCGTTGGCCCAGTTGAGCCACAGCCTGCAGTTGAGAAGGAGTATGCCTTGGCAGACTTGAGATCTGTGGTGACTACGCTGGGTGCCTTGGATGCGTGCTTGCAGCACTTTTCTTCGAAGGCTTCGACTCCAGAGTCGACTTTGGAACCCGGTGCGCCGCACGACGCTGTCCAAGGAGAGCAGCAGCCTGCTGGTGCTCAGCCAATGCAGCAGGAGGAGGTGCCAGATTGGGGCGGTGACGAAGCAGAAGAAGAGCAGGCTGCGAGCTGGGATGAGCTTGGGCAATCGGTGGGTCAGATGACCAAGTCTTCGCCTGAGGAAATCAAGCGCCTGAGTGAACTGCTGGAGTCCCACAAGAACCAGATCGTGAGAATCTTGGAGCAGCAGGAGGCCAGAGAGAAGGAGCAGCATGCCGCTGGCAGTGTCTTCGAGGCCTGCATGAGGCAAGAGTGGGAAACGGCTGCTAGCCTGGTGGAGCGCCTGCGTCCTGAGCAGCTGGAGCAGATGCAGGACTATGGTGGCCTCACTGTTCTTCACCATGCTGTTCGGTCTGGCAGTGTTGAGTTTGTCTTGGCCATCCTCCTCAAGTGCCCACAGTTGGCCAACAGGGTGACCTTTCCTCACCGCCAGCCAGGCAATTGGACGCCGCTCATGATCCTCGCAAACCTCCCTCATGAAGGAGAAGCGGAAGCAACCATTGGATATATGCTTTGTCAACACATGGATCTTGGCGCCCTGAACGTCAGAGGCACTTCGTGGTCCACTGCCACGCATATGGCGGTCTCCCGTGCGAAATGGTCGCTGACCAAGTCAATTCTGTATCGCATCGACGACTTGGGCGGCAAGGGTGCGGTCATGGACCACACAGCGCAGGCCAACAACGCCGAACCTAGCCTCAATGTATGTAACGTTTTTTTCCGAGCAAAGAGAGAATATAAATCAATGTCAAAATAAATAAAATTCATTTTTTCGGGGATTAGAAGTATTGAAATCAATAATTATGGTTGCCGTTGCCCACTGGTATGCATTTTTTTGTTTGCCATGTTTTTGGGGCGCTCTGCTTGTGGAAATTTGATGTCGATCACAGTCGCTGCCAAGGGCCGAGGGATCGTGGACATTGCTTTGTCTTGCAACTTGAGCATGGCCAGATACTTGCAGCAGTTCTGGGAAGCTCAGCCTCTTCACCCTGCGCCGCGCTCAAGCAGCTACAGGCACGGATTTTAAATCAAACCTGAAGAACGGTTTGGGGACAAGTCCGCTGAACAATCCCATGTCAAAGGGAAGCGCCTGAATCTACAATGAATCATTGTTTTTTCCCAATGTTTTACTTGCAAGGGTCTTGGTCTGAGTTGAGTTGGGGCGGCCGCTGGCCTAGTTCAGATTCATCCCCAGGCCCTACCGACATGAAGAGCAAAGTAATGCTTCTGGCTATGGCTCCTCGGCTGGTTTCCCACGAGGCCGCTGAGTTGGATTTGTGAGGTGCCACCAGCGCACCGTGTGCAGCAGACTTGCTTTTCAGTGCAATGCTTTTGGCAAGAAGGTGATATCATACAATACTAGGCTGCAGTCCTTGTTGCTTAAGAAACTGTACTGTCCAAACCTTACTTTCTCTTTAACTGGTTCGCTGCCAATCGCATGGCTGGACTTGACGTTTCGGCTGGTTGTTGGCCGATGGCCTGCTGCAGTACTTCTTCCTTTCCGAAGCCCTCTGGGCATGTGAGCCGGTAGAGGCTGTCTTGTCTCCACCTTGCTAGGTCCCCATGCATTTTTGGCAAGTCAGTGGGCTACACGGTTGATAAGTGATAAGAGTAGCAAGTAACAAGTAAAGCCTGGTTTGAAGTTTGAACGTTGTTTTGCTTTGCTTGTCTGTTTGGCCGCTGGCCTGGCTTGCCACGATCCGGCAGTGTGTTGAGCAGGCTTTTGCTTCAAAGCCACCGGCTGCACAGTGACAAAAAAGAACAGCTTTTGACCGCCGCACACCGTGCTTGAGTTGAGTAGTTGTGGTCGCAGTCTTGTGTTGTTGGGGCTGTTCGTTGTTAGTTCTGTGTAGGTGACAGGTGGTTTAAGCAGTCGTTTGTTGGTTGTTGGTTTCACTGCTTTCCAGGGGCCGAAACAACATACCCTGACAGGACCTCCTGTGCACGTTTGCTCGAATGGTTGCTGCCGAGATCGGGCGGAAGCCGTGACGAAGGCCAAGAACCTCATCGAGGAGCACGTCTTGAAGCCAATGCCGTTGCCAGCAATGAACAAATGGACCAAAGTTGCACCAACCGTGGCCCATATTTCTTTACTTGGCTTATTTCACAATGGTTTTGTGGTGGATGCCTTCAAGGCCGAGTATGGAGAATTGCAGGATGAGTCTTCTGACCACAGCAACGATGAGGACAAGAAGTTGGAAGTCCCAGTGAATGAGGCCAGAAAGTGGCGACTCCTAGCGCGAAGGCGGAACATGCGCGCAACGCATTTCCTTTCAGACCCCCAATCGCTGTGGATCAACCTGCTGTGGTGCCAGTTGGCCGGTGGCATCATGAGGCTGCATGGCAAGTTGTTCAAGAATGCCACCTGGTTTTCCGACAGGCCCAAGAAAGAGCAATCCAAGTCTGTGCATTTGCTCGGCTCCCTGTGCTGCCCTGAGACCAACCCGGCCTGGACCAACCTGACAGATTTGTTGAACATCCTACAAGACCCTGCCAAGCGTTTGTCACTGTTGATTTGGAGGTTTGGGCCGCTGGCCGGGTGGCCACAAGCAAGGAGAAGAATTGTGAGAAAGAGCATCATGGTCATGGCAGGCCAACTTGCGAGAAAATTGATTTTGCCATGGCAGCAGTATCCTTGGTGTTTATGGCCGCTGGCCTTGAAAGACGCAAGCCAAGAAGACCACAGGTCATGTGCTAAAGCTTTACTCAACAGTAAGCCTTGCTGTCTGGACAGCGGTTTTTCACAGCGGCTCAAGCGCATACACCGCACAGAAGAAGAACTCTTGAACTCGCAGCTCCAAGTCTTTTTGCAAAAAGTTTTCGAACGTGTTGTGCCAACATCAACTTTCATTGAGCGGCGGTTCGCCCAGTTTGCCCATTGGAGCGACCAGCAGCCCAAGCTTGGCACTTTGGCAGCCAAGCACGTGACTAGTTTCTGCAAGGGCGCTGCCCAGGCTTGGAAACAAAACCACCCGCAGCACCAGAAGCGAAATCATTTGTCTCGTCCTGACTGGGTAGAACAAAAGCAAGGAAGCCGAACCACAGGATACAATGTATTTATGTCTGAGTTCAGGAAGAACTATTCAGCGCAGCAAGTGGCTGGAGATGAAGGGAGGCAAACCTTTGTTCAAGAGGCTAAAGCTGCTTGGAGAAGACTTTCTCCCGGAGAGAAAGCGCCTTACAGTTTCAAGGCGCGTGGGCTGAACAGTCTGCGCAGCAGAAGCTCCCAGATGTCAGACAACGAGGCTGGCCCTGAAGGCCGAGAGACTGGCGGCTTGTGGAACACATGCCTGCTGCAAGACAGATGGCCGCTCCGAGTTGATCTGTTGGAAGCTGCCATGGGGGAAGGGATTGTGGCTTTACGAAAGATCTCATCGGCTTGGGAAGAGGCCAGGTCAACAGAGCCATCATCCACCATCAATTTTTCTATATTCAATCATCATCAATCATCACTACCGCAACATCAGAAAGACAGGCCATAGTCATAGTCATAGTCATACTACTGTCTGTTTGCTTTTCCACTCCAACCCAGATATTTTTGGCTGGCATTGTTCATTTGGAGGAGCATGCAATGCTGGTGGAGGCGGAAGATGATCTGCCAGATGTGAGTGATAACTTGTTTGCTGTGTGCCCGCATGGTGGATGTGAGGAGGAGCTGCAGGCAGCGCAGCGTCCAGTCTTTCGGGAAATCCACGATGACTTGGTCACTGCTGTCCGGGTGATTGAGCCTTTGAAGCGGGACTTGTCTGCTCACCCTTTGGTTTTGGAATGGCACTCATTGTCATTGCAGAAGAGAAGGTTTGCTGTGGTCGCTTTTCACATCCGCAAGCCTCCTTGGGACATGGTCCTTCTTGAGCTGGAGGAAGCCGGGGACTCCGAAGAGCTTCCTTTTTGCTTGGCAGTGCAGCTGGGCAGGCAATCCATTCATTCTGACATTGCATTTTGCCATGAGCTTGCCCGAGCCGCGTCTGACTGGGTCTTGTTTCGCTTGTCCATTGGAGATCTGACCGTGGACTATGGCATTTTCCAAGCCGCAGAGCGCAAGGAACTGAGCCGATCCGAGTTGAGACAAGCTGCTGCTGAAATGAAGCAAGTTATGCTCGCAGCAAAAGCAGCCAAGCTTGCCCAAGGTTTGACCGCAAATAAAAAAAGGAAAAGCAGAAACTCCAACAAACGAAAAAGCAAAGGCAAGCGGTCGCAGACCCTGGCTCCAGATGTTTCGGACATGGAGTGGAATTCTGCCTCTGAAAGCGGGGGCTCCGCTTCTGACTTTGGGGCAGACACCAGCAGTGTTGCAGCGCCTGCTTCTTCGTCCGCTGGACCGGCTCGCAGGGGCTCAGCTTCAGACTTTGCGGCAGACACCAGCAGTGTTGCAGCGCCTGCTTCTTCGTCCGCTGGACCGGCTCGCTCTAAGCGTGTCAAGCAGTCTCGGTCCATTCCCTGGGGTCCATTCCAAATCGCGCCGATTGTTCCGGCCGCTGGCCACAGTGGTTGGGGAGCCATCTGCGGACAGCATTGCGACCGAGGAAACAGTTTGTCTTGCAAGAAAGCTATGAACCGTGGGTCGCTGACCGATGCGGAATGCGTCTTGCGTTTGAAGAGGTGGCTCTTGGCAGGCCATTCAGACCAGAACTGGCCAGTTCACAGGCGACGGTCGCACCATGTAGAGCTGGGTGGCAAAGGTCTGCAAGATTTCGCGCAGGGAATGTCTGAGGAAGCTATGGATGCTTTGGTCGCTTCCTGGTTTTGAAGTTCTTTGAGTCATTTGACCGCACTTTCGTTCACCGTTCAAGTTTTCGCAGCCACTGCTTGTCACAATTTGTTTCCAGAGACATTTTACTATTTTTACAGATGCTTAACGTATGTGTATGTTTGTCTATTTATGGAAAGAAATGAAACAAAAATGCAATTATATCAAAAAATGTTAAGAACATTTCAAAAGAAGTTTCAATTTCACCGAGAAAGTTTCTGAAAAAAGTTTCGTAGAGAAATCGTAGAGATTTCCTTTTGTGTTTATATTGAGAGCGTAGAGAAATCAAGTTGTTTCGTAGAGAAAATTCGGTGGAAACTTCTTTTGGAAATTGGCAACTTCTTTTTGAAACTTTTCATCATATATCATATATTCTTTTAATTTTGCGGTAGTTACCAATAGATGCTTCCATGCAAACAAGCCATGCTCTCAGGTGATCGCCAAAAGCGCAAAACAACCAGGAGCTGGAGCGCAAAGCAGAGCCGGACGCTGGTCCCTGTGAAAAAGTGCGCTGGCTGCAGGGTTTTGAACCTTGGACTGCCTGCTTGGTGTCAGCGCTGGCGGTGTTTTGCTCTGCTGTGGCCCGAGTTTGTTGTTCTGAAAAGGGTTGTCGAGGGTAAGTGCTGTCAGGCAGCTTGTTTTCCAGCAGGGCTTTTGGTTCAAACCTGAGCAGTTGTTCTTTACTGCGCGTCGTCGTCATGGAGGATGACCTACTCTCCCAAGCAGCTTCCAGTGTTGGGCCCGTGGTGCTGGCTACTTTGGATGTGTGTTTTACCCTGAGTAAGGCTTGTGTGTGCTGCCTTTGCAATGCCAAAAGCACTGACCCTTCTCCCTTGGTGGGAGGAGAGGAAGATGACCAGTATGGAGGCCGCCGGCCCTGGAACAAGTACCGTAAAGTGCGCCACCCTGGGTCGGACGAGCAGGTCAAAGTCCCAGAAGGGAAACTGTGCATGATTTGCTTCAGCACCTTCAGAGCGCTGGGTCTGAACTACAAGTATCCATCGTATGGTGCGTACTACAAAGAGATCGTCAATGACAACAGCAAGCATACCAGCTTCATAAACTCTATGAAAGAATGGATTAAGCAAAGAAATGAGGATCCCACTGGGCGAATGGACAGGGAAGCAGTGAAGAAGGCCCACACCACTCTGCACAGTGAGACCAAGACTGGTGTCAAACTCAAGGGTCCCAAGAGGGAGTTCGTACTCCTGGAACATTGGGACCCCAAGCTGGACGGTGAGCTGGACGAAGCACACATAGTGGAAGAAACTTGGCAAGGGAAGAAGGTGAAAGGAATCTGGAGGGCCAAAGGACGTGCCGGTGTGCTGGAAGCTTCCGGGTATGAAGACACCAGTTTGGCTGAGCGCACTGAGGAGCACAGTGGATCCGGCCCTTTCGCTGAGCAAGCTTTAGTGACCCAAAAAACTGCGTTGCAGAAGGTGTTTGCGGATGCCGGCGAAGAGAGGCAAAAGCACACAGTGGCCGCAGGCCCTGCATCACAGGCAGGCGATGTTCTGGCAACTTTGCAGAAAATGCTGCCAAACTTGAAACTTGCTGGTGGTGGGCAAGCCCTGAGCGCAGACCCAGAAGCAGATGAGGCTAGCCCTTCTGCACTTGTTGACTTGCACAAGGACGAGGACGAAGATGAAGCAGAAGAAGAGGAGGAGGTTTGCCCAGCAGCTCGCCTAGCTGCAACGGTTGGAGGGCCCAAGGCCGCCAAAGCTAAACCGAAGGCAAACCCAAAGGCAACTGCAAAAGCAGCTTCCAGGCCCAGTGTGACAGCTACGCCCAAAGCAGCAGAGGGCCGCAGGCCGGGAGAACAGAGCAACAGTAGTGCTCGCCCAAAAGCAGCTGCCGCCAAGGCCACAGAGGAACCGCAGAAGCGGGTGGCCGCTACTGAGACCCTCCAGCTCGACGGTCGCGGAAAGCGATTGAAAGAAAACCTCGCAGAGATGTGCCAGAAGTTGGAGGACACACTGGAGGCAAATCACTTGGAAGTCAACTACAGCTTGCAGCACGCTGATGCAAAGTTGGTGTATTCAAAGAAAACAAAGGCTTTGAATTCCTTACTGAATACTGCAACTAAGCAGATCAAGAAGATTGAGGACAGCGTCAACAAGCACGGCTTGGTTGAAGAGCTGGAGCGGTTCCAAAGCCTTCAGGATGTCATCCAGAAGCTCTTGGACTTGTTCACCAGGCTGAACATAGCCAGCCCAGTTGCCGATGAACTGGCAGAAGCAGTCGAGGCATGTAAATCCTCGCCCTTTAACATCGTGCTTGGCCCAGAGGTGTGGCAGAAGTTGCTCAGCACAAAGTGCTCCCAGTGCTGTTTGTACCAAGACTTCAGTGCTTACTGCAAGCTGTTCCGTTCGTCTGAGGATGAGGCCAGGCGTTTACACATTTGGGCAAAGCTGGCTACAAAGTAGCATGGTTGATGGAGCCTGCTTGGTTTCTGGATTTTTGAAAGACATTTGGTCTTTAGGCAGGCAAATTTGTTTCGGGAGGTTGCCAACCTGTATAAGTTAATAAGTTTCAGTTTAAGTTATAAGTTATAAATCATCATCCAACACCTTTGTTCCCCATGTTCCCCCTCATAGTTTCACAGTATGCTTGCTGATACTTTCTGGTAATTTCAAGCCATTCTAAGTGCAAAGATTGTGTCTGCCTTCCAGCCCTCAGGTGAAGGAGCTGCGAATCCGGATGTCTCAGCAAGACTTGGCTCAGCTTGTCGACCTGGAAGTGGAGCAAGCGCTGGCCAACATGCTCCGCAACTTTCCTTCTCAGGATGTTCAGAAAAAGGAAAGCGACTATCGCTGTCAAGTGGTTACTTTTTGCGAGGCCATTGTGGCAGAGCAAGGCCACCCGGATTCTGAGCTTTCAGGCCCATGTGCGAAGGTTGCAAGTATGGTGGTAGACCTGATGTCTCTTGGAGACGTTGTTGCTTTGCAGCGTGGCGCAGAGAAGTTGAAGGAGCTAGGGGCAGATGAGCGCCCGGGATCTGTTGTTGCTTTCTTCACCAAACACAAAGTAGGACAGAGCTTGACCCAGGCTTCAGCCGAAGTCATGGTGGAGGGCGCTGCCCGTGTGAATGTGGAGCAAGCTTTGCAAGAGGCTTCTGCTGCTTTGCAAGTTGTCAAGGAGAAGAGTGTCGCTGGAGAAGAAGAACTGTCCGGCGTTGTCGCGGTCTTTTTTGAGAAGAAGCGGCTCGTTCAGAAGGAGATTGTTGACATGAAGAAGCAAGGCACGCACATGCAGAAAGCAACCACGAGGGCCACGCAAGAGCTGGAGAACATCAGCCAAGAGATGTGGTCTTGGTTGAAGTCTGCCCTGAGGCTTGAATTGTTGAACACTTTGTGCGGCATGCTTGAGAACAGTTCAGCTTTGCTTGCGCCTGCTGGAGGCTCTTCACCAGGGCAGTTTTCCATTCAAGATGTTGAAGACGTGCTGCGCAATGATGAGATTTTGAAACATACCTTGTGGAACAGCCTGAGTGAAGAAATGAAGAAGGAAAAAAGGATCCTGAAGCTGTTTGATTTCTACGGCACGCTCGCTGAGCAGGCAGTCACCCTTGTGAAGTTTGCTTTGTCCCAGAAAAGCGAGACCCGCTTTGTTTTCCAAGGCGCCGCCTTGCCTGCTAAGCCTTTGCCAGAGATGCTTCGGAAACTCCAAGGCTTGCCCGAGCAATTGCAGAACCTTGGCGGTGGGGAAAACCAAGTCGATGACTCACAATGTGCTGCGTTGCTTGCAGCTGTGGATGCAGAACTCGCTCAGCAGAAAAATGCTGGCTTTGTCAGCTTGGGCCAGTTGATCCGAGACTTCCTGGACCAAAAGCCCGAGGCTTCAAAGGCTAAGTTGGAGGAAGTGAAGCTCATGTTTCCGCAGCAAAGTGAAGCGAGACAGGTGCTGGACGCCTGTTTCCAGGCATGCTGGGGCAGCTTACAAGAAAATATGATGCCGTGGTTCCATGCCCCAAACTAGTACATCAATTAGCGACGCTCAATGTGGCATTTCAATTTTGCATATATTGCTACATTGCTACTTTATTCAAATTTGTTTGCAGCTAGCTCACAATTAAATCAATGGTGGTCTAATTGTGGTTTCTTGAATTTATAGACGCGCTCTGGGATAGGCTTTACATGGACTTATGGCCTGATAAATTCATTCGATATGCATTGGCATTGGCGTCATGATTGTAATTGACATGGGGCCCCTTCGCGTTATGTTCCCTGTGCATTTACTTATCAAAACTGAGTTTTGGTTTCGTACTGCCGATGATTGTTAACCGAGTCCACTCTGGTAGGACCCTTGTTGGGCTGTAAATAAGGCCGGTTACGAACATGAACCATGCGTAAGCGTCGATCAAAATTGACGGTCTGAATTTGCTTTTTTGCGCCCCCGTCAGCCCCAGGTCTTGGCTGCTTGGCTGGGTCGTCCTGAAGGGCCAGAGCAATTGGTGCCACGCCTCAATGCCTTGCAGAACTTGGAGTTTGCGCGCTCAAAGACAGAGCTCTCATCAACGCACTTGTTGGAGACTTGTTGCTTGGAAGGACATCAGCCTTGGCAAGATTGGTGTAGCCAGCAGCGCGCCCGACTCTTCCAGGCCTTGATGGGACATGGGGATGCTCGCGCGAAAGCGTTGGAGCAGAAGATTGTAGAAGTCATGGCTCAGTTGTCTGGCGTTCCTCCTTCGAGTAAGGAAGGAGCTTTCCGCACAGCCGTGCAGGAACGCATGTCCTCCTTGAGCACGTCGTCAACGGTGTTGAAGAAGAAGGCAGATGAACTGCAGTGTGTGATTGAATGCTTGTCTACTGCAGAGTCTGGTGACGCATCAGAGGCCGCTGGCCGATTGAAGAACAGCATGATGGAAGGCAAGGCGCTCCACCAGTGCATTGTTGCAACATTATGCTACTTTGCGGCCCTCACACTGTTTCGTAGCTCTGCATTGAGCAGCCAGGCCAAAAAGGGAGCCTCCGATCTGAACACCCTCATGCACACTTGCTTTGTGGAATTGGAGACCGCGCATCCCTGTTCTTGGTTGGATGAGACAAGTATGGAGGAAACCCTATTGCAGATGTCGCAAGCGGTTCCTTGTTTAAATTTCTGGACAAAATTTCAATTTAGAAGTGCCAAATTTGTTGTCGGTATAAGGGTATGGAAAGACTAGGCCATCTGAATAGGGATGATTGCCAAAATTTGTTTCTATTCGTCTATTATGTTACACCCATGTTTGCAATTTTCCTCGCACGGCACGGCTTCAGCAGAGCTGAGGTCCAAAAAGTCTTCGAGCAGATGAAGGCCCACCCTGCCCCTGTGGATGTGACAGCCCGCTGGGCACAGGCCCATGAGAAGCGTAAAGAGTTGCCAGAACTGTCCGAGTTTTTGCGCATTAGGCCTGACAAGGGGCCTGCTGCTCCTGCAGTTCCGCAGGCCAGCGCTCAAGCAAGCCCCCCTGAAGTGCGCCGAGAAAGTGAAGGACAAGGAAAACTTGGCCCAATGGCCACCAAAGCTTCAGCTTTGAAGCTGCGCACAGGCAAGGCCGTTCCGGGTCAAGAGAAGACAGAGGAGTCTGCCCAGGTGGAGGCTGCTGTAGCCCAGGCGGAAGCGGCTGTAGGCCAGGATGTTCTCAAGGCTGCTGAGCCGGCGAAACCTGAGATTGCTGTCCAGCCCAAGACCGCAGTTTCCGAGACAGAAGCTGCAGCTTCTCCTGCCTTGGCTGGTGCAGCGGTCAAACGACCAAAGCTTGGCCACAAGGAAGCGACAAAGAAGGACGAAAAGCCAGCGGCCGCGGGCCCAGCCGATGGTTCTACAGGCCCAGCTGCCAGCGGCAGCGTTCCAAAGTCGACCAAGCTCACAGAAACTGAGCAGGCCCAGTGGAAGAGCTTCTGCGACAAAATGGGCCCGGATTGGCGCAAGCGTTTTGCTGCGCATGCCGCTAAGAGAATGCGAAAGAAAGAGAAGAAGGAAAAGAGCGCAAAAGAGAAGAAAGAGAAGAACCAGAAGAAAGACAAGGGCAAGAAGGAAAAAAAGGACAAGAAGGAGAAGAAGAACAAGAAAGAGAAGAGCAGAAAGGAAAAGAATGAAGGCCGAAGTGGCAAGCGCAATCGCGCTGTGGAGGATGATGATGAAGATGATCTCTTCGGAGATGGAACTGTTCGGTCTCAAGGTCCTGGGAAGACACCGGCGCCAAAGAAGCCAGCCCGCAAGGCAGAGGCGAAGACAAAGGCCAAGGCGAAAGCCAAAGCGCAGTCGAAGGCCAAGGCTGCGGCCAAGGCTGCGGCCAAGGCCACGGCCAAGGCCAACCCCAAGGAAGAGCAGCAGGCAAGGGCAAAGGAAAAGGCCGCCGCAGTGCCCAAGGCCAGCGCGGAGGCCCAGGCGACCGCTTCTGCTGTTGGTTTGGCCGCTGGCCTGGCAAAGAAATCGGCATCGGCAAAGCCATAGATCGACATGTGACGGTTGCGACGCTGGCTGTGGTCACAAGACCAGCAGCATCATGAGGGACATGAAATTTTGCTTACCTACCAAGTCGCTACAGCTGCCAAAAAAGTTGTCAGACTGCTCGAAGTTGGGGGTTGGTGGCCTCGCAGTTGGCAATCTGTAACAGCTGTATAGTTGTAGCAGCGTCACTCTTCCTTTCTTAAAGACACCTGTCCAGAGTTGTAAACAAGAACAGCCACTTTTACTGACCTTTAGTCAAAGAGACCCTTGCAACCTTGTGACTTGTGCTTGGCCTTGTTTCTGGCAGTGGTGTGCCTGTTCTTGGTGCTGCCTGGCCTTCAGTTTCGGCTCACCTGTGCCCCTGCGCTGCGGGCACGCCAGGGCGTTTGGTAGGCGCTCGTTGGCGCACTTCAGCCATGCCGGGCGAGCGGCGCGTGCTGCGGGCGCGGCCCAGCTTGGACGCTGACGGAGTGAAAGAGTGCGAGCAGGAAGCCAAGACAAGGTGCATTCCTGCAGATGCATTGGTGGATGGCTCTTGGCTATGGAACGTGTGCAGAGAGAACCTAGACCTTTGCAGGAGAATGGCCCCTCACAGGCCGTGTTGGGGAAGTGCAACTCTGACCTGGGGATCTTTGTGCTCTGGATCAGAAGGCCCAGCCTGGGTCATTGCTGCCTTGAACCAACTCTTTGAGCAGGAGAAGGCTGTTGACTTCAAACTTGAGCACGTGTTCTCTTGCGAGTTGTCAGCAGAGAAACGGAAATGGATCCACGCTTCCTCCATGCTCGCTGAGCCTGCTTATGCAAGACTGGCTGCAAGGGTGAGTGGCCATGATGACGATGAACTGCCCGCGGTTGATTGGGAAGAAGTGCTTCGGGCCGCAGATGCCCCGTGCATTTTTTGCAATATCACCGACATGGGCGCTGCCCAGGCAGAGTGCTGGGAGCACGGTCCTGGAAAGTGCCATGTGAGAAGCGTGGACCTACTGGTCGTTGGCACCAGTTGCAAAGACATGTCTCGAGCCAATCCCGGTAGTGTCAGACAAGAGGTGGTGCTCAACGCGACAGAGTCTCGAGGCGGCAGCGCCCAAACTTTCAAAGGGCTGCTGTCGTACTTGGAAAGACACCGGCCTTTGATGATTCTTTTCGAGAACGTCGACGCGATGGAAGATGTGAATCTCAAATCTGAAATCTTAAATAAGATTTTAGTACTTTAAAACGTTGTGTGTTTGTGTGTACGTACGTCCTTTCTTCGTTTTAATTCATGGCAGAGCTCAGTGGAGTTAGTGGTAAGCAACCATGTCAGTGGCTGAGGCTAAGGCTCGCTATTGGCCATTGTCCATTTTTTGGGGGCGACAGCTTGTAGTAGTGGGGAATCGGACATGCGATCTCTGCTATATCATATAGAGAATCATATACGCTGTGTACAAGCGGACGTTGTAGAATAAATATAATAAGTTGTATAGAAGTAGGCCCATGTCATTTTCAACTGCGATCATATTGGGTCTCCAGCAGTCAGGAAGGCCGCTGGCCAGTCCAACATGGACGTGTTCTGGAGCCAGATGGCTGCCCACGGGTACGAGGGCCAGTCTGTCTTGACAGACAGCAGCGAGTTTGGTCTACCTGCCCGCCGGCGGCGGCTGTACGTCTTCCTGGTGCGAGTGCCAGGGAATCCTTTGCTGTCGTTTCAGGACCGCAACGTTGATTCTATCTTCACTACTTTTGGTGGGCTGCTGTCTGGATGTTTGCGGCATGGACCTTGTGCAAGCGACATTTTGCTCGAAGATCACCACCCAGCAGTTCTGGAAGAGTTGCAGCTTCGAACCTGGCGCAGGGAAGAGCAAAATCGAAGCGAGAAGCCCGCCCCAACAGGGGATTGGCCAGATCAGCATATGAAGCTGGCGCAAGCTTTGCGCTTGAGATGGGGCCAGGGGGCGCCGCCCGAGCTTGCTTCCAACCCTTGGTTTCAAACGTTGACGGCCAGAGAGCAGGATGCGCTTCCACTCCTGCAAGCCCAGATGCCTGCAGAAAAGAGCATGATGCGAGATTTGTCTCAGAGCATTGTCCGAGCAAATGCCAACACTTGGAAAACTGATGCCCAGAAGCATTTGGCACCCACCATGCTTCCCAAGATGAATGTGTGGATTGAGCCCGTGGGGCATCATGTGAAGAAAGCTCGAATGTTGCTTGGCCGCGAGGCCCTGCTGTATCAAGGCTTTCCGGTTCTGTTGTTCTTGGAGACATTGCAAAAGATGCAGCAGGACATTGAGGCCGCTGGCCGGGCCAAGCCGATTATCGGCGATGAGCTTCTGAGGAATACTGGCGGCAATAAGCGGCCAAAATGGAGCAGTGACAAGCCAGAGCCTCGGGGCAGAGACCTGTTGGTTAGCTGGAAGCCGACCGAAGCGTTGATGCAAGATTTGGCTGGCAATGCCATGGCTCTGCCAGTGGTGATGACGATGCTGCAGTGTGCTTTTGCGTCTGTCAGTTGGCGCCCCAAGGACCTTGTCGGAACCGCGGCCGCAGCGCCAGTCTCGACCCAAGAGGCCTGGGAAGGGGCCCGGTTTAATGTTAATATTTCCACGTGGCATTGCCAGAGAAGCATGTCAATTTCTTATTTATTCTATTTACGTCTTTGATGACAGAAAGTTAACATCAGAATCATGAATCATCAATCACATCATATCATCATATCATGCCATTATTTTTTCTTTGCGCGGATACGAATTGAATAGCGCGGGTTTGCCTTTGGCTCGGGGCTGCCTACACACGCAGGATGTTGCAGCTGCGCTGGCCGCAGTCCAGGGCCTCCGCTCAGAAGATTCGGTCGCCGACCCGGTGTCAAAACCCGCTGCCGTGAGTGCTGGAGTAGCAGTCTTGAAGCGCAAACTCAGAGAGCGCAAGTCGCAATGACCAGCTTGGACAGGGGAAAAAAAAAGGTTTCACGCTTGGGCCCTGGAGGGGGAAGGGTGTCTGATTTTCACACTACTGGGAACGGTTGCATGGTGAGGGCGTTGATTTCAATTGATGTTAGCCAGGAATGAGTAAATCGATTTGAACACGAATTGACGATGTGGTGGCTGATGTTGCTTTGCTGTCCGATTGCAGTGCATTCAAACACAAGTTTGTAGGAAATTCTTTCGAGTAAATAATTTGATGAAACAAGTTTTCAGAAACTTCTTTTATGTAAACGTTTTATTGAAAGAAGTTTTCAGAAACTTCTTTTAAATCAATTATTTGCTGAAAGAAGTTTTCAGAAACTTCTTTTTAACTACTTTTAACGATAAAACAAGTTGAAAGAAGTTTCTGAAAACTTCTTTTTAACTCCTTTTAATGATAAAACAAGTTGAAAGAAGTTTCTGAAAACAACTTTACAAAGAAGTTGCAATTTCGCAAAAGAAGTTGGATTGTTTCAAAAGAAGTTGTTAAAAGAAGTTGTAAATTTTGAAGCTCCGTAAACACTACTTTTGGGGTACAGGCCACAGGCCTTCTGAAAACACCCAACCCAAGCTGCGGTGACGTGCTAAAATCTGTCAGCGTAAGGTCTGCGTAAGGTACTATAACGTGCGTAAGTAAAACTTGCGCGCGCGTAAGCAAAACGTAGGTAGCAGCGTAAGCTTTTCCTTGTTTGGTGCCGCCATGCAAGACATTTAAAACACAGCTCAATTGAGGAAGTCTTGCAGAATTGCTTGATGTGGGAAAACAGAAAACATTGCACAAAATTACGATGATCAGTACTACAACAACCACTACTACGACTACAACTGTACTCCACAACGCCGCTACAAGAAAATTGCAACTTCAACTTAACCTACAACTACACACTATACAACCACAACTGCAATCTACAACCTAACTACATTACATTACAACTACACCTGCAAGATACAAGACCTACAACTAGAAACTGCAGATGCAACTACAACTGCAATTGCTGCAATTGTGACTACAACTTCAACCACCGTCCACTACCACTACCCCTACAACAACTAGAATTACAACTACCAACTAAATATAACTACAACCACAAATACAAAGCTGAACTACAACTATTTTTATTTGCTTTTTAAAATTTGAACCGCATCCACAATTTAAAATTGTCTATTTGTTTTTAGTGCATCGTTTTTAAACTCAACAAACCACAGCTAGAATGAACAAGTTTGAACCGTGCTGCTGCTACGACTGGGGTGTTTGACTGTTTTTTTTGAGGGACTGTTTGGTGAGAAGTGTTAACTGTGCTAGCTGCTAGTTGCTAGCTGCTAGCTAGCACGTAGCTGGGTAAGCAATTTTTTTGAACAGAGACCTCAAGGAAGGAACGTAAGCTCCAGCTGATCGAGTGCTGGTTGCCAAAACTCCGCGTGGCAGGCAGGCAGAGATGTGTGACTACCTCGTCGAAGAGGAGTCACTCCATGGCAACTTTTTTGAGCTGAAAAAAATGCAAAAAAACATGCGAAACAAATGCAACAAAAAATGCAAAAAAAAGCAAAACAAAACGCAAAAAAAAATGCAAATCCGAAAAAAAAATGCCAAACAAATGCACAAAAAAAACAAATCACAAAAAAAATGCAAAACAAATGCAAAAAAAAACAAATCACAAAAAAAAATAAAAAAAATGCGACAAAAATGCGAAAAAATGTGAAAAATGCGAAAAATATGCGACCCAACCAGAGCAGCAAAAACAAAAAGCAAAAAAAAAAAAGAAAACGAAAAAAAAGGGACTCACCACTGAACCGCCTGGAGGCACCTCAAAAAAATGCAGCACTCCTATCTCCAAGGCAAAATTTGTCCTTAAGCAAAAATTTTCCCTTAGCAAAAATTTTCCCTTAGCAAAATTTTTCCTTTAGCAAAATTTGTCCTTAAGCAAAAATTTTCCCTTAGCAACATTTTTCCTTTAGCAAAATTTGTCCTTAAGCAATTTTTTTCCCTTTGCAAAACGTGTCCCTTAGCAATTTTTTCCTTAAGCAAAAATTTTCCCTTAGCATTTTTTTCCTTTAGCAGAAATTGTCCTTAAGCAAACATTGTCCCTTAGCAGTTTATTTCCTTTAGCAAAATTTGTCCTTAAGCAAAATTTTCCCCTTAGCAAAAATTTTCCTTTAGCAAAATTTTTCCTTAAAGAAAAAAATCCCTTAGCAAAAGTTTTCCTTCAGCAGAAAGTGTCTTAAGCAAAAAATTTCCCTTAGCAAAAAAAATCCCTTAGCAAAATTATTCCTTTAGCAAAATTTGTCCTTAAGCAACAATTTTCCCTTAGCAAAATTTTCCCTTTAGAAAAATTTGTCCTTAAACAAAATTGTTCCCTTAGCAAAACGCGTCCCTTAGCAAAATTTTTCTTTAAGCAAAATTTTCCCCTTAGCAAAATTTGTCCCTTAGCAAACTCGTCCCTGCACTGCTACCTTTCCCTTTGCCCAAAAGTGATTTTATCCAACAAAATCTCTGCAAATTCCAATTTGGATTGAGAAGATTGGGCCTCTCAAATTGTTTGTGGTTTTGGTCCCTGGGTTGTTGTGCAATTTTGGCTGGGAAGTTACAATTAAAATCCATTATTCCACTGTTAGTGGGGGGGGTCACTCCAAGTTGAACCCATTTATTTTTAGTCACATCATTATCATTGTTAGAATAGAAGGAATAAGTTTTTGTTCCATGTTCTTCTTGCTTGCTGCTGGTAATTTGAATATTTGTTTGCATGAGGTCAGGTATTTGCTTTTGCAACCAAATACAGATTGAGATTTGAAGTTTTGCTTCTTATATGTTCCTTTTGCCTTTGCTTTTGTATTTTTGTTTTTTTTGTGCATTTGTTTGCATTTTTTGCTTTTTTTTTGCATTTTTTTTGCTTTTTTTTGCTTTTGATTTGCTTTTTTTTTTTTGTCTGGTTGCTTTTTTAGTTTACATTTTTCACATTTTTTGAGGAAAACATATTCCATTGTTTTTTTGGATCTGGCTGGAAGCGGTGAATATAACATTTACCCAAAAATCATTCAAAGACATACTGCGCTGCATTAATTTCCGCACAGTTAGACTGAATTCATTTTTACATCATGAACTTAATTCTCAAGCCAACCCGTTGGATGTTCAAGGCGCAAGCTCAATTGATTAGCATTTTTCATGGCTGTACTGTCTTTCCTGCCATGGTGTTTCCGGGAGTGATTTTTTGGAGTGGTAATGCTCCATCACTTCAACAGCAAGACACTTGGCTGGAGCCATGGCCATGCTGTGTGCAAACTCGTCCGTCAACCGGCATAAAAGAGCACTCGAGCTTTGCACTTCGCACTTGAAACTTATACCTTAGCATCCGATGGAACCTCACTTGACTTCTTTGACACTTAGGTCTCTCGCGGGCGACGATTGACTGCAGGCAGCATTTTCCCTCCGCTGCCAAGCAGCTGCGGGAAACGGGGGGTGTTTTTACGGGGTAGTAACATTTAGTAACGACCATACAACCACGGGCCCCTCTACTTATGGGAGTTATATGTAGGCTAACTTAACTTATAGCATGGGTTAACTAGAGTTATAAGTGAATTATCTAGGGTTAACTTTGGTAACTTCTGAGCCGGTAGCTAAAGGACTTGCAGGACATAGCAACTTATATGTCGCACTTGCTAAGTTCGACATAACCCTGCCTCTCCGAAGTTACCGAAGTTATCCGTAAAACATGGTTTTCCATTTTTTTTTGCATTGTTCCCCACCTGCCAGGTGAGGGTTGTTAGATTTTATCAGAGCGCCCTTCCTCCGCCTCATCTTCCTCCTCCTCGTCCTCCTCCTCCTCCTCGACTAGCTGTCCTCTTCCTCCTCGTCCTCCTCCTCGCCTCCTCCTTCAGTTTCTCCTCGACCATGTCTGCATCAACTTCCACCTGCACTTCCGCCTTGCCAACTCTTCGCCAAGCTCTTTGCCAACTCTCTTCGCCGACTCTCTGCGCCAAGCTCTTTGCCAACTTCCCAGCTCAGTGTGCACCGCTGGACCTCAACCTGGGACCTTCCCAGCTCAGTGTGCACCGCTGGACCTCAACCTGGGACCGTTCCAGCTCAGTGTGCACCGCTGGACCTCAACCTGGGATCTGCCCAGCTCAGTGTGCACCGCTGGGCCTCAACCGGGGACCTGCCCAGCTCAGTGTGCACTGCTGGACCTCAACCTGGGACCTGCCCAGCTCAGTGTGCACCGCTGGACCTCAACGGCCAGATACAATGCCAGAAGATATGCCAGATAGAATGCCAGATAAAATGCCATAAGATATGCCAGATAGAGTGCCAGAAGATATGCCAGATAGAATGTTAGAAGATATGCCAGATAGAATGCCAGATAGAGTGCCAGAAGATATGCCAGATAAAGTGCCAGAATGTTTGCCAGATAGAATGCCAGAAGATTTGCCAGAGAATATGCCAGAAGATATGCCAGATAGAATGCCAGATGGAATGATGCCAGAAGATATGCCAGATAGAATGCCAGATAGAATGCCGGAAGGTATGCCAGATAGAATGCCAGAAGATATGCCAGATAGAATGCCGGAAGGTATGCCAGATAGAATGCCAGAAGGTATGCCAGAGAAAGTGCCAGAATGTTTGCCAGATAGAATGCCAGAAGATTTGCCAGATAGAATGCCAGATAGGATGTCAGAAGATATGCCAGAAGATACGCCAGAAGATATGCCAGAAGATATGCCAGATAGAATGCCAAAAGATATGCCAGATAGAATGCCAGAGGATATGTCAGATAGAATGCCAGAAGATTTGCCAGTAACAAAATGTATAAATGTCATGGTGGGGATCACACAAAGTAGAGTAATTTGTTTTTTTTTCCATTGTTTTTTGTGTGTTTTTTTTTTTTTGCGTTGTTTTTTTTTCCATTGTTTTCATATGTGTGAACCACAACCATGCCTGTTTGTGTTTTTTGGCCAGCACGAAGGCCCAATGTCAACGATCAA